GGGGGGACACGGATGGACACAGGGCATGGTCAGTAACGGGGGGACACGGATGGACACGGGGTATGGTCAGTGATGGGGGACACAGTGGGGACAAGGCATGGTCAGTGACAGGGGGACACAGTGGGGACACGGGTATGGTCAGTGACGGGGGGACACAGCAGGGACACAGATGGACACAGGCATGGTCAGTGACAGGGGGCACAGCAGGCACACGCATGGACACACACCGAGCACATGCATGGACACAGGGGCATGGTCAGTGATGGCGGCACACACAGCGGGCACACGCATGGACACACACTAAGCACACACATGGACACACGGGCATGGTCAGTGACATGGCGGCACACACTGGGCATATGCACGGTCACACACCGGGTACACGCACGGTCACACACATGGTAACACACCTATGGGCACATTGGGTCACACCACGGACACATGCACAGTCACACACACAAGGTCACACACCAGTCACACACACATGGTCACACACACAGTCACACACACACAGTCACACACATAGTCACACACACACAGTCACACACACAAGGTCACACACCAGTCACACACACATGGTCTCACATGCAGGGTCACACACACACAGTCACACACCAGTCACACACACAGTCACACACACATGGTCACAAACACACACACAAACATGGTCACCCACACATAGTCGCACACCCATGGTCACACTTAGTCACACCCTGGCCACACACAGAATCACACACACAGGGTCACACACACAGTCACACACACACAGACACACACATGGTCACACATACACGGTCACACACACACACACACAAGGTCACACACACAGTCACACACACACATACACATGGTCACACACACACAGTCACACACACATGGTCACACACACACACACACACGGTCGCACACCCATGGTCACACTTAATTACACCCTGGCCACACACAGCATCACACACACAGGATCACTCACGCAAGGTCACACACACAGTCACACACACACACACGTCACACACACACACGGTCACACACACACACATAGTGACACACACACAGGTCACACACACACACGGTCACATACACACACGGTCACACACACACAGGGTCACACACAGGGTCACACACACACGGTCACACACACACACACACACAGTCACACACACACAGTCACACACACACAGTCACACACACACAGGGTCACACACAGGGTCACATAAAAGGTCACACACACAGGATCACACACAGCAGCACAGGCACTGCCCAGCACGCTGCTCCCACTGTCACCCAACAGCGACACCCGCAGCACTGTGGGGCTGATTCAGAGCACANGATGGGGGGACACGGATGGACACAGGGCATGGTCAGTGATGGGGGGACACAGCGGGGACACGGATGGACACAGGGGATAGTCAGTGACGGGGGGACACAGCAGGGACATGGGCATGGTCAGTGACGGGGACACAGTGGGGACATGGACAGACACGGGTATGGTCAGTGACGGGGGCACACAGTGGGGACATGGATGGACACACGGCATGGTCAGTGATGGGGGGACACAGTGGGGACACGGCATGGTCAGTGACAGGGGGACACAGTGGGACACAGATGGACACACGGCATGGTCAGTGACATGGGGGCACAGCGGGCACATGGCATGGTCAGTGACAGGGGGACACAGCGGGGACACGGCATGGTCAGTGACGGGGGAACACAGCAGGGACATGCACGGACACACAGCATGGTCAGTGACATGGGGGCACAGCGGGCACACGGCATGGTCAGTGACAGGGCGACACACACCGAGCACACGCATGGACACGGGGGCATGGTCAGTGATAGGGGCACACACAGCGGGCACACACATGGACACACGCTAAGCACACGCATGGACACACGGGCATGGTCGGTGACATGGGGGCACACACCGGGCATACGCACAGTCACACACCAGACACACGCACGGTCACACACATGGTAACACACCTATGGGCACATTGGGTCACACCACGGACACATGCACAGTCACACACACATGGTCACACACACACAGAGTCACACACACACAGTCACACACACACAGTCACACACACAAGGTCACACACAGTCACACACACATGGTCACACACACAGTCACACACACATGGTCACACATGCAGGGTCACACACACATAGTCACACACCAGCCACACACACAGTCACACACATATGGTCACACACATACGGTCACACACACATGGTCACACTTAATTACACCCTGGCCACACACAGCATTACACACACAGGATCACTCACGCAGGGTCACACACACAGTCACACACACACACGGTCACATGAACGGTCATACACATGGTCACACACACACACACACACACACAGCCACACACAG